TCCAATCTGGTGTACTACACCTGGTTTATCAGTGTTTTAGAGTTTGAAATGTCACGAGGCTGAAATTGCAGCCATGCACTTGAGGGCATCCAAAATTTCTAACAGTGATGCAGTTGTAGCTAAGTTCTTAACTGACTGGTGGCTTTGGGGCATGGGTGAGACTGCTGGGCTTCTGGAAGGACAGGGAGATGTGGGGAGGTAGCCCAACCCCAAACCCATGAAAGCTGGAGATTTCCATCACAAAATCTGTAACCTGAATTTTTCAACAAATTAATTTCTGGGTGAGGCTCATCTGAGCAGTGGTGTCTGGCTGGGAGCATGGCATAAATTGAGGAATGTGGAGGTTTTTGGCTGCTGGGGCTCACCCATCCGATGACCCCCATCCCCACCTCTGGGTTGCCTGTGGGATAACTCAGACTTATACAGGATATAGGGGAAGTTCTGTCACTTACAGACTTCTTTTGAGATTTATTTCTGAGTCTCTGGATCATGGCTGGTGAAAGGGCTCACATGTGCCAAAGGTGGGTTATGGACATTAGTGCCAAGCTTCCAAAGTACAGAAAGAAGGAGGAGGTAGCCCATCCCCTATTCCTAGAACAAGGTATTTTTTTACTGAACAAAGTTTACTTAGAAAAACATGAGGAGATAGAAAATGAGATATAAGTGCTTAAGAGAGAACCGAAGGGAGGGGGCAGAGTGATAGATAGTACATCAGGTGGGCATTTGTCTTGCACAAGGCTGACTTGAGTTCAGTCTCTGGCATCCCATATGGTCCCCCGAGCACTGCCGGAAGTAATTCCTGAGTGTGGAGCTGGAAATATCCCCTGAGCATTGCCAGGTGTGACTCCAAAAGCCAAAATAAAAACAGCATTGTAATTTATAGTACCTAAAATAAATTATAATAATTTTTGAGAGAGAACGAGAGAGAGAGAGAGAAAGAGAGAGAGAAAACACAGCTTCTCCAGAGTGGGGGGGGGGGAGGAAGAACAGGGGCTTGAAAGAACAAGCCAGCAGAGACATAAAGAGACATGTGTTTAAGTCAGAACATGGGCTTGAGAGGGCTAGTCTGAAATGAAATTTTGTAAAGAAACATTAAAAAAGTCACCTTCATTATTAAACACAGTAAACGGAAAAGCACATAAACAAGAGAACATCAGCTACCTAAGAATCAGCTTAACTAAGGAAGAAAAGGACATGTACAAAGAAAATTACAAAACGCTACTTCAGGAAATTGGCTGGAGCGATAGCACAGCGGTAGGGCGTTTGCCTTACAAGCGGCCAACATGGCCGACCCGAGTTCGATTCCTCCGCCCCTCTCAGAGAGCCCGGCAAGCTACCGAGAGTATCTCGCCTGCACGGCAGAGCGTGGTAAGCTACCCGTGCTGTATTCGATATGCCAAACACAGTAACAACAAGTTTCATGATGGAGACGTTACTGGGCCCGCTCGAGCAAATTGATGAACAACGGGAGGACCGTGACCGTGGACCATGACTTCAGGAAATAAAAGAGGATATGAGAAAATGGAAAGATATCCCCTGCTCATGGATTGGGAGAATTAACATGGTCAAAATGGCAATACTTCCCAAAGCATTGTACAAATTCAATGAGATCCCTATAACAATACCCATGACATTCTTCAAAGAAATGGAGCAAACACTTCTGAAATTCATATGGAACAATAAGCCCCCATGAATAGCTAACGCAATTCTTGGGAAAAAGAAAATGGTAGGAATCAACCTCCCTAACTTTAAACTCTCTACAAAGCAGTAATAATTAAAACAGCATGGTTCTGGAACAAAGGCAGAGCTGCAGACCAATGGAACAGGGTTGAATATACTGGCATCTACCCCCAAACATATGATCATCTAATCTTTGATAAGGGAGCAAGAAATGTGAAGTGGAGCAAAGAAAACCTCTTTAACAAATTGTGCAGGCAAAAATGGACAGCTACATGCAAAAAAAAAAAAAATGGGCCCAGATCTCTGCCTAACACCATGTACGAAAGTAAGATCAAAGTGGATTAAAGACCTCAACATCAGACCGGAATCCATAAGGTACATTGAAGATAAAGTTGGCAAAACCCTCCATGACATTGAAGCTAATGGTATCTTCGTAGATGTCACACCATTGGCCAAGCAAGTGAAAACAGAGATAGACAAATGGGACTATCTTAAACTAAGAAACTTCTGCACCTCAAAAGAAACAGTGACGAAAATACAAAGACAATCTACAGAATGGGGAAGGGTATTCGCCCAATAGACATCCGACAAGGGGTTGATATCAAGGATATACAAAGGATATACAAAGTACTGGTTGAACTCCACAAGAAGAAAACACACAACCCCATCAAAAAAACGGGGCGAGGAAATGAACAGAAACTTTCTCAAAGAAGAAATCCAAATGGCATAAAGGCATAAAGGCACATGAGAAAATGCTCTACATCATTAATCATCAGGGAGATGCAGATCAAAACAACAATGAGATATCATTTCACACCACAGAGACTGGCCCACATCCAAAAGAACAAAAGCAACCGGTGGGCGCGGATGTGGCAAGAAAGGGACTCTCCTTCACTACTGGTGGGAATGCCGACTGGTCCAACCCTTTTGGAAAACAGTATGGACGATTCTCAAAAAATTAGAAATTGAGCTCCCATTTGACCTAGCAATACCACTCCTGGGAATATATCCCAGAGAGGCAAAAAAGTATAGTCGAAGTGACATCTGCACTTGTTTGTTCATTGCAGCACTGTTTGCAATAGCCAAACTCTGGAAAAAACCTGAGTGCCCAAGAACAGATGACTGGTTACAGAAACTTTGGTATATCTACACAACGGAGTACTATATAGCTGTTAGAAAAGATGAAGTCATGAAATTTACTACAAGTGGTACTACATGGAAAGTATTATGCTAAGTGAAATGAGTCAGAAAGGGAGGCACAGACATTGAAAGATTGCATTCATCTGGGGAATATAAAGTAACAAAATAGGAGACTAACACCCAAGAATAGCCGAGATAAGTACTAGGAGGTTTACTCCATGGCTTGGAGGCCAGCCACACACACTAGGGGAAAAGGCAGCTCAGATAGAGAAGAGAGAACCAAATAAAGGGTGTCGGGAGGAGCCACCTAAGATGGGAGATGCATGCTGAAAGCAAACTATAGATTGAACATGATTGCCACTCAATTCCTCTTTTGCAAACCACAGCACACAAAAGGAGAGAGAGAACAAAAGGGAATGCCCTGTCATAGAGACAGGGTGGGATTGGGGGGTTGGGGGTGGTAGGGATACTGGGATCAGTGGTGGTGGAGAATGGGCACTGGTGGAGGGATGGGTACTCGATCATTTTATAACTGAAACCCTACCACAAAAATTTGTAAGTCTACATCTGTACCTCATGGTGCTTCACTAATAAATTTTTTTAAAAAAAACAAGAGAACAAGGTAATCAATACTATAAAAATTATTTTTTAAAAAATCAACTGAAGATCTATGCTAGAAAATAATCTTAAAATTGCTTTTCTTTTGGTGAATGCTAATGAGAAGGTAGCTTTGAATAATAGGTTTTCTTAAATTGTTCAGTAAAATATTGGAACAATCCAGAGAAGATTAGCAGGGTCCCTGTGTAAGGATGACACACAAATTTGCAAACACATTCCATAATTTTTTTTCTGTAAATAAAACCTTAACATTAAAAAAGAAAAAGATTTTCAGTAAAAACATGAATGTCTCTAATTTTGATATTTTGGCACTGAAATTCATACAGCAAAATTATCTTTATTAGAAATTACTATTCTCATTTATAAATATCTTCATTAGTAGAAAAATCTACAGGACTGGTGGTGATTTTCTAGTTCTTTCATTAACTAGGTTGAGTACAAAAAACCATATACAATGCCTGGCTGCATGAATTTCTTTCATTTCTATCTTAGATTTGAACTGTGGGGGTTGTTTCTTTAAAATAAATAATCCCACGCATTAGCATTTGTCAAATGTACAACTTTTTTTCCCTTCTATATTTTTATGTTAAAATATGCTTTTGTAATTTAATTCTTTCCGGGCCCTTATTATAACTTTATGAACCAAATAAAATGATTATATACAATAGCACATTCTCATCACTATTCAATTATGTTGATTCTGCAGGGATTTTATATTAGCCCATATATTTTCAGGCTTAAATGCTAGAAGATATTTATACAGATATAAATAGAGTTACATACAAAGGTATGCATGAGTTTGCAAGTAATTTCCTTTTTTCTCCCCTCAGCATAATTTCCTCCTTTATGATTCAGCTTTTGTGACATGCATATATTTATTTTAATTCTTATTGACTTAAGTTCAAGTCTACCAATTCTTCCAGTTTCCAGGATGCTGTGACAGTTGGCGGGGACAGAGATATCAAATATTTACAGCTGGGATTTTCTGTGGGGATTGGAGCTTGTGGTCACTATTTTACAGGCCCTTGTACCCATGGAGACTCAAAAAAGTGCTTGTGTTTGAAAGTGACGCATATTTTCTACTTTAATGTTTTAGGAATCCTGGTTACCTCCTCCATAGTCTAAGGTCATTATCAAAACCAGCAGTGACAAATGCTCTTTGATGTCAATTTTGGAAATGGAAGAGGTGACTTAGATTAAGAGGGGGATAGAGCATGCATTCACCCTGGTTTTGGATTAATATTAAAAAATTTAAAAATAAAATCTGTGACGTTCTCAGAGTAGCTGCAGTTCCCTACTCTCTCCCAGGAAGTCTGGGCCTCATGCATCTCCCCTCTGCATGGTCTGCCCCACCAGAGTGGTGCACAGTTGTCTGTCTACCCCCTTGCCTAGTCCTCTCCTCATCTCTGCAGTTTTATCGGCAGAGACATCCTTCTACACTTCGTTGTCCTTATTATGACCCTTAGGGACCAACACAATGATGTGTGGCAATGAATGCAGGAACACGTAGGATGATGGACGCAGCGCATTCATTGCATGTAAGCATTGTGTTTCCTGATCAGAGTAGATTTAGGGAACACTTTGAAGGTAAGACTTGATTTTTCAGCTGAAGAACAGTCCTCCAAACCCAGGGCCAAGTCCTGGCTGGTTTTCTAAAGAGTTCTATGCCACAATGGCACATTTGAGTTTACCTTTCTAAGCAATTCTCCATTCCTTTTTGGTCACTAGAAAAATACAACCTTGCCTGGCCTGTTTCCTTAGAATGATAGTACATCCTACCCTCCCCACGGGCCAAACCCTCATGTGGATTATCTCTAGTAAACTTTCACAACAGCCCGATGAAATGGGTGATATGTGGGTACTCTGGAAACTGAAGCTTACAGAGGTTGAGAAACTTGCCCAAGTTCACACACATAGAGCTTGGGCTCAAAACCAGTCAGGCAGGCTGTAGAGCCTTCATTGTTTCCCAACACTGTCCTACATTTTTTTTTCCAAGGAATTCATCACCATGGGAAACTTTTGTTTCTATATTAGAATACTCAGTTCTTGACTGCGGAGGCATTATCTAAAATAGTGCCTGGCACAAAGCTGGGGGATCATCAAGTGTTGACAATGTTTAAATTCTGCTTTCTAGGGGATGAATAAAAGAGTGGCCTTATTGTTATTGCTAAGGGTCACAATAACCTCTAAACCTTTCTTCATTCTAATTTCTTATATATTCCAGTTCTTATTTTGTTCAAAAATTTAAAAAAATAACCCAGACTGCTTACAACAATGACCTCCTGGATCCGCATTAGCAAAGGACTAGTGTGTATTCTTTACATGCTGGAGGCCGGGTGTCATCTCTGGCACATGGTCCCCCAAGAACCTCTGAATATGACCTATGAGTCAGATAGCCTCCAAAATTGCTAGGTGCGGTCCCCCCCTCCCAAACCCAATCCTACCCAACTGAATAGAACAATAACAACAACAACAACAAAAAAACCCAAAACACAATTGTTGGAGTACACGGAGCTTAGGTATATCAGATTGTACCCATCACAGTGCTCCCGAGTCACTCCCATTACTTTGTCAGTCTGTAACCACTTCTATGCTCTCTTCCCCAACCAATTTGTAAGGTCTCATCCTTCTTAGACACTGAAGCTGTACTGTAAGTTAATATTGCCTTTCTCCTCTCCTTATGTCTTTTGAGCAGTTTACTTTAAAGCAATGTCCTTTTGTATAGATACAGGAAGACAATTAATTAACATTATGCTTTATAACTTAGGAATTAATTGGCTTTGGACAAATTGGTTGGGGAAGAGAGCATAGAAGTGGTTACAGACTGACAAAGTAATGGGAGTGACTCGGGAGCACTGTGATGGGTACAATCTGATATACCTAAGCTCCGTGTACTCCAACACACAATGACATTGCTGCCATAAATATCCTTATTGAGGGAGGAAGATATCACAATCTTAAATGGACGAGTTAATGTGATTCATGCACCCATGGAGGATTTTATGACTCGGCACTAGCCCGAAATTGCCAGGCATATTGTAAAGTGGGTGCTGTCTGTGGGGGCAAGTTATTGCTCATCTCCATTTGCATCCCTTAAGCAGAATGGTGAGCATCTAGCTACAGCTTTTGAAATCAGGTGATGTGTCCCTGGCGGCAGAATCTCCTTCCCCCGCAGCAGGCTGTCTTCACCGGGGCACCTCAGAAGGGGGCGGGTTGAGTTTCCCTCCCCAACCCAAGCAGAGCCCCAGAAGCCAAAAACCTCCAGAACCCAGACAGCCATGCTCAAGCCCACTCTACATAAGCTCGGATAAGCCTCACGCATGAAGGACAGGAACCCAGGTATGCGGGACCCGTGGCTTAGATCTCTAAACCTGCTTGGATTAGGACTGGGCCTCCTCCACCCAGGTCCCCAGTTTTCCAGTAGCTTGGCAGCTACACCCCCAGTGCCATGTAATCTCATCAATGGTCAAGATCCAGAGACTATAAAACAAAGCTCCTGGAAGAGAGTGATGCAGTATTTCCTGGAGCAATCCCCAACAGAGAGCTTGGCAAGCTACTGAGGGCATCTCACCACATGGCAGAGCTGGCAAGCTACCTGTGGCGTATTTGATATGCCAAAAACAGTAACAATAACAGATGCTCTTCATGTTCCTGGAGTGAGCAGACACCATTGGGCTACACTAGCACACAAAAGGATGAATGGAGGTGTTACTGGTGCCAGGATGAACAACAGGACAAGTGATACAAGTGAAGTGTCTCTGGCAGAGGATGACAGGACAGACACATCTGCTACTCGCCAGCTGTTTGTTTTGTACAAGCAGTGATGCTGTGATCGATATCTAAACAGGTCAGAAAGATAGTATAGGGGTGAAGGTGCTTGCCTTGCATGAGACTGACCCTAGTTCAATCCCTGACATATGATCCCCTAAGCATTACCCAAAGTGACTCCTGAGCAAAAGAGCCAGGAGGAGCCCCTGGACATCACTGGATATGCTTCCACCCCCACCCCCCACATCAACACCAAAGTTCTTTTTTTTATTTAATTTTATTTTTATAAAGTTGTTCACAATAATTCATTACATTTAATATTTAAACACCAATCCCACCACTGTGCACCACCATAAGAGGAAAGTGTGTGAAGATTGTTGTATTTCGTCCTGGAACCATTTAAGCCCTCCAACACCACAGTTCTGAACTCTAAAAGAGAGCAAATAAATATCCAAATGGACCTCAGCATTTAATTTAGATGCCTTTAAGGCTGTAAAGAATACCTGGCATGAAATTTCACAGCACAAAAACACAACTCCACATTCCTGTCAGCTTGAGGAGGTCTCGCTTTGCTGTAAGCATCTCCAGAATTCACAGATCTTGGATCTTGGATCTTTCTCACTTTCTACTTTCATTGTCCAATAACTGCAAGTGAGAACCAGACTGTATCAAATGCATCCTCCATGGAGCCGGAAGTGACTTCATGCCCTGGAAGTGGAAGCTTCTCTCTCTTACTTCCTTCCCCTTTTCTCTTTTTATATTGTTAGAATGTTACCTCCTACCCCACCCAAACCTTGATCCTTTTACTACCTTCTGCCTAAAATACAAGAATGAAACTATTTGGGCACCATATTGGTGACAATCCTGAATTGACCTCTGTTGAAAGAAATGATGCTATTTGAGGACCAGCTTTCATTTGACATCATTTTTTAAAGTAACAGTTACCAAGAACTTATGCCATTCAGTGAGGTGTAACTATTTGTTATGGTGTTCAGTACAAACAATCTAGCTGCAACTGTATTTCTGCCAGTACAATTGGCTTCAGAGCCTATAGTCAAGCCCCTATTTTGAAATTTCCTTTCTCGCTTCATAATCTCCTCACTGCTTTCTAACCCTTTCAGTACCATAATCCAGCATTTGAGTCTTCTGTAGTCTTCAGTATCATGAACACTAATGTTCTATGATGCCAAGCTATATTCTTTATATAAATATGTATTCAATAATGAAATCTACCTTCACCCTCTGAGTCATAGCCTTTATTTGGGGCTTTATGATGACTTTCCCCTCTAGATGAATCTGCCTCTGATCAGAATTTGGGATCATGTTTTTTCATGATGGCGCCAAGTTTATATCCTATTTATTTTATTTCATGTACTCTATTCCAGCATTGTTTTCCAACTGTTTATTGCTTTCTCTTGTTGCATTCAGATTACATTCAATGCCCATATTGTATGAGGAGGTTCAATGAAACTGCAGCCAGTCGACATATCAGTTTCTGCAAGGATCAGTCTTTACGCCGAGTCTTTGATCCAGCCCAGACCGCAGCCAAATTGACATCCAAAACACAGGTACATCTCTTCACCCAGGTATTGCTGCTTGTACTTTTTTGCATGCCTGGGAGTATCCAGTGAAATTTTCCAGACTGATGAAACTTCCAGTGCTTCCTCATCCTTATGGGAATTGGCTTCTTTTAAGTAATGATTTTCAGCAAAAAAAAAAAAAAAACCTATATTAGGTGCTGTACAAAAAATTTTCTAGTGTCTGAAGCTTCTTAGGAGGAAGACCAAAATATATGTCATATTTCTGTAGTACTATAGAAATAGTATAGTAATAGTATATACTTAGTATCATGCTAAGTGAAATGAGTCAGAAAGAGAGGGACAAACATAGAATGACTGCACTCATTTGTGGAATATAAAATAACATAATATGAGCCTGACTCCCAAGGACAGTAGACACAAAGGCCAGGAATATTGTCCCATAGATGGAAGCTTGTCTCATGAGCTGAGAGAGAAGGCAGCTGGAATAGAGAAGGGATCACTAAGACAATGATGGTTGGAGGAATTTTTCGAGATGGGAGATGTGTGCTGAAAGTAGATAAAGGACCAAACATGATAATTTCTCACTATCTGTACTGCAAGCCATAATGCCCCAAAGTAGAGACAGAATATGGGGGAAATTGTCTTCCATGAAAGCAGGGGAAGGTTTGGAAAGGTGGGATATACTGGGGACATTAGTTGTGGAGAATGTGCACTGGTGGAGGGATGGGTGTTTGATCATTGTATGATTGAAACTCAAACATGAAAGCTTGTAACTGTATCTCATGGTGATTCAATAAAAAAATAATAATTTAAATTAAAAAAAGAAATAGAATAGTTCTGCAAACTATACTATTATGGTAAAAATTCTAAAAACTAATACTGTGGTAAAATTAGCGTTTACCCAATGGTGATTAACAGCATGGATGAATGGGTAGGATTAAGCCACCCAGAAAAGCATTGTGAACTGGAAGTGGCCAGCTTGTGGGGGAGGGGAAGTGGTATCAAGGAAGAGGTCCTGAAATTCCTGTGCTTTGCTTTGGAGAAGGTCTTCAACATTTTATTAAAAATCATAAAATCAGCAAATCAAGAGGATGACTGAAAGCAGCTATCACAAATAGGTACAAATGAGTAGCATGACAACCTGACCAAGGAAAAATAAATTTATAAATACAAATGGAATTAGATCCAACAAGGAATTCCTTACACATCAAAGGTTCTAGGATCATGCCTTAGAATCTAGCATAAAAACTGTTTACTTCATAAACATGGCTTAAACGCCAAGAAAAGACTGTATTAGCCTAAACACTAAAGAGCATGTAACACGTTTAGGATGAGTTCCACATTATCAAGAAAGTCATGGGGTGAAATCTCCTCAGTAACAGTGTTTGTAGCACTTCCCCACATCTCTCTGTCTCTCTATCTTTCTCTCTGTCTCTGTCTCTGTCTCTGTCTCTGTCTCTCTCTCTCTCTCTCTCTCACACACACACACACACTCTCTCTTTTCCCCTCCCCCGAGCAACAGAGAAGAAAAATCAAGGGGCTTGACTTGTGTGCAGACAATCCACTGGGGTCTAATCCCCAGCACTTCATATGGTGCTCGAGTCCACCACCAAGAGTCATCCCTGAGTGCAGAGCCAGGAATAAGCCTTGAGCACCACTACGGTAGCTCAACGTCCCCTCCCTCCCTCCCCCTCCTCCACCCGGATAAAAGATCTCTATCTTTGAGAATCGTCCATACTGTTTTCCAGAAGGGCTGAACCAGTCGGCATTCCCACCAACAGTGAAGGAGTGTCCCTTTCTCGCCACAACCCCGCCAGCATCGGTTGCTTTTGTTCTTTTGAATGTGGGCCAGTCTCTGAGGTGTGAGATGGTATCTCATTGTGGTTTTGATCTGCATCTCCCTGATGATTAATGATGTAGAGCATTTTCTCATGTGCTTTTTTGCCATTCGGATTTCTTCTTTGAGAAAGTTTCTGTTCATTTCATTGCCCCATTTTTGGATGGGGTTGGATGTTTTCTTCTTGTGGAGTTTAACCAGTATTTTGTATATCCTGGATATCAACCCCTTGTCAGATGTGTATTCGGTGAATATCCTTTCCCATTCTGTAGACTGTCTTTGTATTTTGGTCACTGTTTCTTTGGAGGTGCAGAAGCTTCTTAGTTTAAGATAGTCCCATTTGTCTATCTCTGTTTTCACTTGCTTGGCCAGTGGCGTGGCATCTTTGAAGATACCATTAGCTTCAATGTCATGGAGGGTTTTGCCAACTTTATCTTCAATGTACCTTATGGTTTCTGGTCTGATGTTGAGGTCTTTAATCCATTTTGATCTTACTTTTGTACATGGTGTTAGACAGAGTTCTGAGCCTATTTTTTTGCATGTAGCCGTCCAGTGATGCCAACACAATTTATTAAAGAGGCTTTCCTTACTCCACTTCACATTACTTGCACCTTTATCAAAGATTAGATGAGCATATGATTGAGGAGAGATGTCAGTGTATTCAACCCTGTTCCATTGGTCTGCAGTTCTGCCTTTGTTCCAGTACCATGCTGTTTTAATTATTACTGCTTTGTAGTACAGTTTGAAGTTCGGGAGGTTGATTCCTCCCATTTTCTTTTTCCCAAGAATTGCTTTAGCTATTCGTGGGGGCTTATTGTTCCATATAAATTTCAAGAGTGTTTGCTCCATTTCTTTGAAGAATGTCATGGGTATCCTTATAGGGATTGCATTGAATTTATACAATGCTTTCGGTAGTATTGCCATTTTGACAATGTTAAGTCTCCCGACCCATGAGCAGGGGATATCTTTCCATTTCCTCATGTCCTCTTTTATTTCCTGAAGTAGCGTTTTGTAGTTTTCTTTGTACAGGTCCTTTACTTCCTTAGTTAAGCTGATTCCTAGGTACTTGATTTTCTGGGGCACAATTGTGAATGGGATTGTTTTTTTCATGTTGCTTTCTTCTCTCTCACTGTTTGCGTATAGGAAAGCCATGGACTTTTGGGCAGCCCTTCTGGAAAACAGTATGGACGATTCTCAAAAAATTAGAAATTGAGCTCCCATTTGACCCAGCAATACCACTCCTGGGAATATATCCCAGAGAGGCAAAAATGTATAGTCGAAGTGACATCTGCACTTGTTTGTGCATTGCAGCCCTCTTTACAATTGCCAGAAACTGGAAGAAACCTGAATGCCCAAGAACAGATGACTGGTTAAAGAAACTTTGGTACATCTACACAATGGAGTACTATGTAGCTGTTAGAAAAGATGAAGTCATGAAATTTACATACAAGTGGTACAATATGGAAAATATCATGCTAAGCGAAATGAGTCAGAAAGAGAGGGATAGACATAGAAAGATTGCATTCATCTGGGGGATATAAAGTAACAAAGTAGGAGATTAATACCCAAGAATAGCTGAGATCAGCACCAGGAGGATTACTCCATAACTTAGAGGCCAGCCGGGTATCCTAGAGGAAAGGGCTATTCAGATAGAGAAGGGAGCACCAAATAAAGGATGTTTGGAGGATCCTCCCAGGAGGGGAGATGCATGTCGAAAGTAGACTATGGACTGAACATGTTTGCCACTCAATGCCTCTTTTGCAGACCACAACACCCAAAAGGAGAGAGAGAACACAGGGGATTGCCCTGCCACAGAGACGGGGGGATGGGGGGATGGGGGTGGGAGTGATATTATCCATGGTGGTGGAAAATGGGCACTGGTGGAGGGATGGGTATCTGATCATTGTATAATTGAAACCAAAGCACAAAAAATTGTAAATCTACAACTTTAAAAAAAATAAAATAAAATAAAGGGAAAAAAAAAAAATAAAATAAAATAATTCAAAAAAAAAAAAAAAAAAAAAAAAAAAAAAAAGATCTCTATCATAACTGGGCTAGGTGCTGATTGAGAGGAGGAAGTGGCACAGTATGAAGTCAGGGTAGTTGACGACATCTGTACAGTGATTCCTGAACAAACGTTTGCCCCAAATAATCAAATGAATTCACTAGCTCAGGCACAAAATGTCCGGCTAAGGAACCCAAACCCAGGGCTGGAACTTCAAGTGTCTGGGGGAGAGTGATTGGGAATGAGGCAGGGAAGAATCTGTCAAATTTGGGCTTGAATTCAACTTACATTTGAAAAGGTTTTCTATATATGACCCTTCCAGTCCTATCTGGAGGGGTTCTAACTTAAGTCTGTTAAGAGGCAAAGAGGAGATAAGTGAGGGGACAGTTGTTCTATACCCAGGGCACAAGAGAATCTGGGTATATTCTTCCTGTTTTCCATCTCTATTTGTCTTTTTTTTTTTCTTTTTGGGTCACACTCGGCGATGCACAGAGGTTCCTCCTGGCTCATGCACTCAGGAAGTACTCCTAGCGGTGCTTGGGGGGACCATATGGGATGCTGGGAATCGAACTCGCTTTGGCCGCGTGCAAGGCAAACATCCTACCCCCTATGCTATCACTCCAGCCCCTTCTCGTCTTTCTACTCTGCACCTGATTTCTCTTCTCTCTGCAGACTGTGCTTTCCTGGCCTTCCTATTGTCTTATCTGTCATCTACTCTTGACTGTGTGTGCTGCTCCATAGGCAGTGTGGACAGCTTGAGCAGTATAGGTGGGCTTAGCATGGAATCAGCCTTTTGGAAAGATCACCCTGACGGTTGGTGGTCGAGACGAATTGGCAGGAAGCTGCTTCAGAGACACAGCAGTAGGTGGAGAAGGGGAGAGCCTGCAAGACAAGGTTCCTGTGGGCTGCTGAGTCTGAATGGGAGGGAGTTGAGAAAGAATGGATAGGACCACCAAGCTGATTGTAGATAATGTGCTCAAAGGCCATGGGGGTGGAGAGCTACCCATACCATACATCTCTGTCAAGGAAGGCAAGAGGGGAAGAGAAGGCTGTGTTGGGGTGGGCAAGAGTGCTGGTGATAAAAATACACATGGAGATAGAACCTCCTTACCTGGAATATTGTTGGAAGCAGCACCATGTGGAAACAACCTGGGTTCTCCAACCCAGTCTGGGGTTGATTATAAATTAAAACTTTGTGAAAAATGATGTAAAATGCAGTATTTTTTTTTCTCTTCTTGTTGATATGGAGCGATAGCACAGTGGTTGGGTATTTGCCTTGTGTGCTGCCGGCCCAGCCGAGCCAGGTTCGATTCCTCCACCCTTCTCAGAGAGCATGGCAAGCTACAGAGAGTATCTCACCCGCACAGCAAAGCCTGGCAAACTACCCGTGATGTATTCAATATACCAAACACAGTAACAACAAGTCTCACAATGGAGACTTTACTGGGCCTGCTTGACCAAATCGATGAATAACGGGAGGACAGTGCTGCAGTTGATATGTAAACTTAGACAAGGGCTTAAGTCTTCTTTGAGGCGGGTAACGTAGCTTGCCAAACGCGAGGGCATCTGGGGAGAAACCATCAAAGATACAAAATCCTGAGCTCAGTGCTTCGCACAGGGCTCGGTCCTTCTGCCTTTCCTCCTTTCGTGGCTCCCCCCTTTTCCTTCCCCTTCCCTCCTTTTCTGTCAGCAAGGCCAGGCAGCACAGTGGGGGTTGGGAGTGGGAGTGGGGGAGAGTCTGTCAACCTGGGGCTGGAATTCAACTTAAACGTGGAAAGGTTCTCTATAGACGACCCTTCCTATGCTTTTAAAGCAGTTGAGGGCGTATTTCATTTCTTCCTGTGGTGGTTCTAAGTGTTCCATGAAGTTAGTTGGCGTGAGCTGGGGCCAGAGGGAGTTAGAGAAGCAGCAAGAGGAAGCGCTTTTTAGTTCTCAAGTCAGCCAGCTGGCTGTCTTGAGTGTAACCGATGACTTGGCCTCATTCCCCCCTGCCTTGTTTTCCAGAGCTAAGTGGTGATTGGGGACACAGAAGAAAAATGGCTTGCTCTCTGAATTACTTGCTTTCTGAGGAAATTCACTGGCGGGTGGAAGTGAAAGGGCAGTTCTTGTTCTGGTTGCGCCTGCATCACCCGGCTGCGGCCTTGCCTCCTAGTGAAGCTTGTTCAAAAATGGGACAAAAAGATTGGGGGGGGGCAGAGCAGGGCCTCCATTTGGGGAGGGCTGTGAACAGCACAGCTGAAATGTGTTTCTATTTTCAACATAATAAATTTTAAAAAACGTGCTATCCCCTTACCCAGAAGAGACCGCTGAGATGGGCCTCTAAAAATAGCCTTGTTCATTGATTGTATAACTGAAATCCAAGCACAAAAATTTGTAAGTCTACAACTGTACTTCATGGTGTTTCACTAATAATTTTTTATTTATTTATTTATTTTTGCTTTTTGGGTCACACCAGCGATGCTCAGGGGTTGTTCCTGGCTCTGCACTCAGGAATTATTCCTGGCGTTGCTTGGGGGACCATATGGGATGCCGGGGATTGAACCCAGGTTGGCTGCATGCAAGGCAAATGCCCTACCTGCTGTGCTATCACTCCGGCCCCATCACTAATAAAAATTTAAAAAAGAAAAAAAAATAGCCTTGTTTGGCTGTGGATGAGCCATCTTGTAATGGCTTGTTACAAGAAAGTCCTCAGAATTGCAGCTTAGCTCTCTGACATAGTTTCTATGGAAGCCGAGGTGGCCAGGTGAAAATAAACTCCTCAGGCATATTTTGGTCCTGATTCTGAATTCATGGAGTCCTTCTGCTACTGCCCCTCGGCAGGAAAGGGTGAGGTGTGGGGATGTTGGGATTCCATGTTTAAAACATATGCTGCCTTGCCAGTGTGTTTTCCTTCTCCGTTTGCATATTTGAAGACAAAAGCATCTTCAAGTGTCATGAAAACCCCAAACATTCCACAACTACCCATCCATGAAGTGGTTTCTTATGTCTCTATAAAACTCAGTTTATGGGGATGAGTACAGCACCCCTCCCAGAAGGGCCTGAATATGGTACAAAAGCTCCAAAACTTAGACATGGCAGAGACCACAGGAACTAGGCTCCCTTAGATACAAAGCATGCTTGTCCCCTTCCCCTGGTCCCCAGCGGGCTGGGGGACAATTTCAGCCTGCTACCATTCAGTGGAAACACTGTTAACTGCTGCCAGGCTCTGTGCTCAGGGGTGCTCCAAGCATTTATATCCTCCTCTTCTCTCTGTCTCTCTCTCTGTCTCTCTCTGTCTCTGTCTCTGTCTCTGTCTCTCTCTCTCTCTCTCTCTCTCTCTCTCTCTCTGTAGGGTAGACCTAAGACGAGTTCCCCCAAAGAGCCAACGGTAACCAGTGCTGTGGGAGCTCTGCTACAGAACAAGGCACTAGAGTCCGAGAATAGGGCCCCGTCCAAACCAGGTGAGTTTCAGTGAGCAGTGCAGCTCTCAGATTAGGGGATGCCGGGATGCTGTTGACTTTGGAAGAGGCCAGCATCTGGAATAACCTCTAACACCCATGCTGCTTGTGAATAGGTTGGGCTTGTTTGAAGTTGGAGCTAACATGCCGAGAGGGAATGTTTCCTAATTTATCAGCCTTACATAACTGACCATCTATAAAGTTATACCTGAGTATGAAAACAGACTCTACAGCCAATAATCTTGTGAGCTTGAATGAGATTAAGAATAGGAGACTATTATATGTCAGGTGTTGTGTGGAAAATAAGAAAATAAAATCTGTCTGCTCAGATATCTTTGAGATATCTGTAATCTTCTATTCCTTCAAGCATTTTTCACAATAACTAAGATATGAAACAAGTTGAGTGTCTCCTGATGGGTGAATGGATAAAGATGTGCATATATACATAATAAAATGTATCATCAATAAAAAGGCACTCCTACCATCTGTGACAATAGGGTTCAACACTGAGGACATTATGTTTACTGAAATAAATTAGAGAAGGGCAAATATCCTATATCTTATATCAGAAAAAGTCAGGCTTATTAAAAAAATGTAGGATATTTGTTGTCAGATTTGGAGATGATGGATAATTAATAAATATGGTGGTCAAAGGGCCCAAACTAGCAATTACAAACAGTAAATCCCGGGAGATGTAATATATAATGTGGTGATTAGAGTTAACAATACTGGATTATATTCAGTTACCAAGAGATGAGATCTCAACACACACACACACACACACACACACACACACACACACACCTCTAACTATGTGAGGTAATTGTATTAATTTTATTATGATTATCATTTTTATATATACATGTATCAAATCATTGCAATATATACCTTAAAGTCACACAATATTTTTTTAAATTTTTTTTTATTAGTGAAACACCATGAGGTACAGTTGTAGATTTACAATTTTTTGTGCTTGGGTTTCGAATATACAATGATCAGATACCATCTCTCCACCAGTGCCCATTTTCCACCACCATGGATAAGATCCCCCCACCCCCTTCCCCCCATCCCCCCCTGCCTCTGTGGCAGGGCAATCCCCTGTGTTCTCTCTCTCCTTTTGGGTGTTGTGGTCTGCAAAAGAGGCTTTGAGTGGCAAACATGTTCAGTCCATAGTCTACTTTCGACATGCATCTCCCCTCCTGGGAGGATCCTCCAAACACCTTTATTTGGTGCTCCCTTCTCTATCTGAGCTGCCCTTTCCTCTAGAATGCCCGGCTGGCCACTAAGCTATGGAGTAATTCTCCTGGTGCTTATCTCAGCTATTCTTGGGTATTAATCTCATATTTTCTTACTTTATATCCCCCAGATGAATGCAATCTTTCTATGTCTATCCCTCTCTTTCTGACTCATTTCGCTTAGCATGATACTCTCCATGTTGTACCACTTGTATGTAAATTTCATGACTTCATCTTTTCTAACAGCTACATAGTACTCCATTGTGTAGATGTACCAAAGTTTCTTTAACCAGTCATCTGTTCTTGGGCATTCAGGTTTCTTCCAGTTTCTGGCTATTGTAAAGAGTGCTGCAATGAACAAACACGTGCAGATGTCACTTCGACTATACATTTTTGCCTCTCTGGGATATATTCCCAGGAGTGGTATTGCTGGGTCAAATGGGAGCTCAATTTCTAATTTTTTGAGAATCGTCCATACTGTTTTCCAGAAGGGCTGAACCAGTCGACATTCCCACCAACAGTGAAGGAGTGTCCCCTTCTCACCACATCCGCGCCAGCATCGGTTGCTTTTATTCTTTTGAATGTGGGCCAGTCTCTGAGGTGTGAGATGGTATCTCATTGTGGTTTTGATCTGCATCTCCCTGATAATTAATGATGTAGAGCATTTTCTCATGAAAGTCACACAATTTTTAAGGTCAACTATAGCTCAATAAATCTAGGGAACGTGCAGTGAGAAGAGAGTTTCCTTCCTATAATGACATAATTGCTTCGAAGTAGCAGAAATCATTATAGATTACTAGATGCCTGAGCCCTTTTATTTAATTGTCTTGATCATCTCACATTATTTTATTTTAATTATATTTATTTATTGGTTCATTGATTTGGAGTCACACCCAGTCGTGCTCAGAACTTACTCTTGGCTTTGTGCTCAGGGATTTCTCCTGGTATTGCTTGGGGGACGTAAGTGGTGCTGCAGATCAAATTGGAGTCAGCTGCATGCAAAGCATATGCCTCACCCCCTGTACTGTCTCTCCAGCCCATCACAACATTTTATTTTTTTAAATTACTTCCCTTATCACTTAATCACTTAACTTCCCGTTAGTCGTCGATTTGCTCGAGCGGGCGCCAGTAACATCTCCATTTGTCCCTGTCGCGTGCTAGTGTAGCCCAATGGCATCTGTTCGCTCCGGGAACATGAAGGGCCTCAAACCAATCGTTCATGATCTTGACGAAGAAGTCTGACCATCTGGTAGGTGGGCGGCCACAGTCTGTTGACATCCCGTGGAATCCAGTCGGTAACAGCTCTAGTCCAGCGGTCGTCTTTAAATCTCATTACGTGACCAGCCCATCTGATTTTCGACACCTTGGCAAATGAGACACCATCCCTGATTCTTGATCGTCGACGGATGTCAGAACTCTGGATTCTTTCTCTCATTTGAGTGAAACGTGATATTCCAAGCATAGCTCTTTCTATTCTTCTTTGGGAGACCTGAATAGCGTTCTCATCTTGTTTGCGTAGGGCCCAGGTCTCTGAGGCATATGTTAATGCAGGAAGAACAGTGGAATCAAAGAGATGTGCCTGGAGCCGGAGGTTCTTCGTCCTCTTAGCTATTTCTTCGACGTTCTTGAAGGCGTTCCAAGCCGCTCTCTTCCTCCTGCGCAGCTCAGGTGCCAGGTCATTTGTCATGTTGACTTCTCGACCTAGGTACACATAGCTGTTGCATTCGGAGATGGTCGTTCCGTTGAGAGCGAATGGGGCATCAGGAACGAGGCTGTTTCTCATAAACATTGTCTTCGTAAGATTCAGCTGTAATCCTACCTTTCCACACTCACGGTCAAAGTCGGCCAGCATTTGTAATTCTACAAAATTACTTAATGAATTAATTTTTCTTTTGGGGTCCCCACTCAGTGATGCTCAGGGGGTTATTCCTGGCTTTGCACTCAGGAATTACTCCTGGCAGTGCTCTGGGGACCATACGGAATGCCGAGAATCAAACCCGGGATGGCTGCATGCAAAGCAAATATTCTACCCACTCTACTATCACTCCAGCGCTTTCTCCCCACCCCTCATCACAACATTTTAAACTAGAGAAAGGGACACAGGCTAAGAGAGGCTGTGATTTGCTTTAGGCACAGCTCCGGCAAACAGCATATGTAAAGATAGTGCTCTTTGCTGAACTGCATTGCAAACATGGCATTTTTCAGTAGAAAGAGCAACATGCAGTAGGAAGTCAGTATGAGTTAGGTACTGACCATACAGGCACTGGATCCATATGGAAGTCTAATTTTCAATGTATTATCATGGCACTGGTTCCAGCAGGAATATAGCACAGCGGGTAGGGCGTTCGCCTTACAAGCGGCCAACATGGCCGACCCGAGTTCGATTCCTCCGCCCCTCTCGGAGAGCCCGGCAAGCTACCGAGAGTATTCGATATGCCAGACACAGTAACAACAAAGTCTCCAATGGAGACGTTACTGGGCCCGCTCGAGCAAATCGACGATCAACGGGAGGGCCTTTTCTTATTTTTTAATATAAATGTATTTATTTATTTTTAAGTTTTTATTAGTGAAACACCATGAGATACAGTTACAGACTTACAAATATTTGTGCTTGGGTTTCAGTTATACAATGATCAAGTATCCATCCCTCCACCAGTGCCCATTTTCCACCACCACTAATCCCAGTATCCCTCCTACCCCCATTCCCGCCCCCCCATCCCACCCTGCCTCTGTGACAGGGCATTCCCTTTTGTTCTCTCTCTCCTTTTGGGTGCTGTGGTTTGCAAAAGAGGCATTGAGTGGCAATCATGTTCGGTCCGTAGTCTACTTTCAGCAGAGCATAATTTTTAATGTGTTATAGGAACTAGAGGAGGAGCTTACAGTTTCAAGGTCCATAAAGTCATATGTGACCTAAAGTCACATAAAGTCAAAGCAGTACCAAAGGTTATTCATTAAAGTTTCTCAGAAGTTGCAAAAAGCCTCTAAGAAACAGCTGGTCACAGGGCCACTCTCAGTAATATCCAGCCTACTCATGAGCCACTGGTGTCACCTCAGTGGGGCTGTAAGATGGGCCGCATATAGCACCAGAGATGCAACTTGAGGCCGAGGAGGTCCATGGCATGAGCTCTGGCCCTTTAAACTTTGAATTGGTACTTTAGAATTTTCTCCGTTGCCTTATAAACCCAAGTCGATTTTTTTTCCTGATTTGTTAAAAGTGCACAATGGGGTAGATTTGAATGTTCACTTAGAAAGCTTAATTAACTTAAATTCTATATTCATTTGTTTCATAAAACTATCAAAACTAGTATGTTTTTTCCTAAAGTATAGTGCTTAGTGGGGCTGGAGTGATAGCACAGCAGATAGGGTGTTTGCCTTGCACGTGGCTAACCCGGGTTCGATTCCCAGCATCCCATGTGGTCCCCCGAGTACTGCCAGGAGTAATTCCTGAGTACATGAGCCAGGAGTAACCCCTGGCTCATTGCCAGGTTACATTGCTGGGTATGACCCAAAAAGAAAAAAGATTAAATAAATAAAAATAAATAAAGTGTCCTCCAGAAGAGATAACCTCTTCCCTTTCTGCTTTCTTTTCTAAGTTTTAAAAATATGCATGTGTCTATATACATCTATAACATTGTACACACACACACACACACACACACACACACACACACACACAAACCATGAAAAGCTCTGTATCTCCTTCCAGTAAAAATCTCCCCTGTTGAATTGTATATGCTGAGATATTTGTATCTCCTTCCAGTAAAAATCTCTATTGAATTGTATTTGCTGGGAGAGACTGTATTAATTCTTGAAGATTACACAAGTTTGACCATGTGAAGTCACATCAAGTACAACAGTGGAGTAGGAGACCTTTGTGCCCTGGACTAGCAAATTTGTAAAGTGCTGGGGATAGGAGAATTCTGCTCCCCAGGTGTACATTAAAATAAAGCAAGAG